ATATGGATCGGTGAGGAGAAGAATTGTATATATAATATATATCTGCTGTTTCTTTTGAGAAAATAGGTCATCTAACGAGAAGAGGGTAGTGAAAATAAAAAAAAGACAGACTTATAGAAGAGGAAAGGGTCATATTAGTTTAGTGTACCAAATACAATTATTTAAACCCATTTCTATGTACTATAATAAACTTTAACAAAAAAAAATTTTTTTTTACTTATTTTTCGATTATTTTTATTAGACTGTGTTTGTTGTCAGTAAATTGAAATATATTTCTAGCTGTTTGAAATATTGTTTTTAATAGGATTTAATAGCTCTTTGCTTTATTTTTATTCCATTTGTGAAAGAATCCCTTCAAGTTATTGTACTTTAGATGATTAATGCAACGACACCTTTACCATCACCGAGCATTCAGATGAAAAAACACTTACTAAACTTTTCTTATTAATGAAGAGAAAGACGAAGGGGAGGACAGGATACAGTTTCTGAGCACTGCTAGCAAAAAGGCTAATCTGTTCTCTAAAAGACCGATCGATGATAAGAAGTGTTAAATACCTGATCTTAGCAGTTTCTTTGACACTTAATGGTGCTTCTGTATTTCTATATTATTGATCAGATTCACATTCAAAACTAAATGCCAGTTATTTCTCTGTTTTTGACTTCAGTTCATATTCTGTCAGTCTGCTTAAACTATTCAAAAATACTGAGCTAAGTGAATGAAAAACTATTTCGGCTCTTCGCTTTTTAGGAAGTTATAGTTAAGGTGAGTAGAGAAGGAGATAGAAGAGAAAGTTATTACTTAAAAGTCTTTCTATTCTGCTTTTTTTCTTAATTCATATGTGTTTTTGCTGCTTTGTACTTTTATTTGTAGTTCAAGAAAAAAAACTATAAGTTGGAAATAAATATTTGAAAAGTAAGAGAACAAATATTGCACCTTAATAAATTGATTGAAAGTAAAAAAAACAAGCGTCTTTTTTTTTGCAAATAGAAATTTTTTATTGCAGTGGTATTGAAAGAGGAAAAGTTTTTTATTTCTTACATCTTGAGAAATTTATTCGTTCTCTGTTACACATTATTTTTATCGCTTTATCTGTTTTCAATTCGGCCAACAATAAGTTCACCTTTTATCAGTGTTTTCTTCCACTTGCAGTTTACTTTCCTAAGTGTTTTAAGGCTCAAAAAATAGTTTGTAAAACTATGTTTATCTTTGCCTTTGATTGATTATTTTAAACTTAATTTTCAAACTATTTGAGATGCAGTTTTCAATTTTTACTTACTTTCTTTCTCTTTTACGTTGTCATCTTATCATAACTATGTTATGCCGTCTGTTTCAAATAAGCTGTGCAGTGAAGAAGACTTGGAGTTTATGAATAGTTCCGTTTACAGCATTGTGAAAATGCTTTTTGATTCTGAGAGAAACAGTTGCAACAGTTTGTCACGCAGTAAAGTTTATTCAAACCCTAAATGGGCGACTGATCTTAGTTATTTGATTCTAGCATATAGTTGTTTTGGCAAAAACAACTACTTAAATAGATATAGCGATTTTGACGACATCAGTAGTGTTTACCACAAACAGACTTAGTTAATGTCTGGGTTGGGTTAGGAGAGAAGGGGAGGCGATGGAGGCTAAAAAGCAGAGATTAGAGATGAGGTCATCAGTAGCCAAAAGAAAAAAAAAACAGCTCAGTAGCACAACCAACAACTGTTTATAAACTGGCTTGCCAACGCTTACTAATCGCTTTTTTTCGAACGTTCCAAAACGAGAAAAAAGTTGAAAGTTTGTAGCGTAAAATGGAAAGTTACTCTAGGCTGCTCTTTTTTACTGTTGTTGTTTAGTTTGAACAGAATTTATTTTGAGTTACATCGCAAAACAAAAAAAAAAAGCCGCTGATGTAGGAGCACATAAGTGGTAAATTAAATATTTTCTATTAGTTTTCATCTATTTAGGCATAACCGCTTAATTAGACTGAAACAATCATAAATGTACAAAATTACTGAGGTTGTTGTGATAGTTCGTATCAACACCATAGTGCACTTTAAATAAGTTTATACTTTTCTGCTAAATCTTTTGATTATAAAGTAGTTTTTCTTTTGCTGTTCTAATTTAAACTAGAAAGAATAGGTCGATACATTGATTAGAGTAAAGTCTTATAATTTCTTTATTAACAAAAATGCATGGTTTGAGCGCTGTTCAAATACTCACTGCTTCAGAAGCTTTTTTTGTAAGGCAATGGAAGAAAGTTACGTTCTTATTTTGTTACTTTTTTTACTTTTTCTGTCGTTAGCTTTTTATTCCTACTTTATGAACGTCATTTTAAACTCTAAGCTCGTCTCCTATTTCACTAAAAGCCATATTTTCTCTAAAGTCAAGCTTGATGCTCAGTGATGAGTTTGATTTCTAGCTATGGTTGGAGATGGCCATGTAAATCAACTGGTTTTGCTGCCAGGAGATGATCAAAACTTTTATTAGCTGAGAGATTGTATGAATTATTTGATGACATATTTTACATTGCTGCTTACTATTAAAGTAAGCAGAACTATTCAAAATAAAATTAATGTGAGTAAAAAGTGTTAGGGTTTTTGAAAGTTTATTTGATCGTTGCATATGAACGTACTTTCCCAGCGATAAGCTTAATGAGTGTATCTCAGCATTTGTAAACGATCAGTTGTAAAAGTTGGGTTTTGAATTCTTTTGCATAGCGTTTGAGCTTTAAAACAGCATTTACTCGGTTGTCACCTTTCCAAACTATCCCATTTAATTAAAGAAGGCAAACTGCGCAAAGTTTAAGTAATTTAGAAAGTAACTTTTATTGACTAAACCCTGTCAGTCTTTGTCGCTAACAGCTCTTTGTAGGCTTTAAACATTAGTATAAACTTCTTGTAAACCCTGACGGCGTTCCCTACACTTTTTATCAGTCAAAATTAAAAATTTTTCAATTAATGTAGTAAATTTGGTAAATTGTTGATTGACCAGCCTAGGAGCCAATTGACTCTGCCGCCCAAAAACGATATTTTGCTCTACAGGATCTGTTTTTTGTAAGCAATTAGATTATAGCAGACCACAAACAGTTTGCAAAATGTTTCCAGA